GGGGGGATTGGCAATCATCAAAACAGCACAGGAAATTTGTGGTAATAGAGGTGAAAGTGCCAGTGTGGAAAAGTGAGAAATCAGCCAATAAAGTCAGGCGGACTGAGGGAACAGAGTGGGTTACATAAGAGAAGGCAGTTGGTGGAGCCGCAAGAGGAGACGCTTTAAGAGAGAAGCTGTGGATTTGTGTGCTAGCGTTTGCCCCCGACTTTCTGTAAGGCCACATTTATTGGTTTCTAGCGTTCTGAGTGTGTATAATATATAAACACATTCATATCTGCAGAAAACATAATATTCATTGCGAGTGAAATCATGTAGAAGATTCTCGTTCGTTTTGTGGCAAATCAAAAGATCGTTTTTCTTGCATTATTTTCGCGTTATTGTGGCCAAATTACATCACCCCATCGCTTCAGCTCTGAGTTGTGCTTTAATGATGAAGTGTGTGGGGTTTCTGCACCACCAGCCTCACCAAACAGATAATAACTGTTTTTAACATTCCCCATTGGGAAACCAAAACAGATCCTTCCCCTAATGTTGAAAGCACTGCAGGTTTTAGTTTTTTCCTTTAATAGGAGTGTTTGTATATTTGGAGAATGAATTAAAATTTTTAATATGACATTTGTTTTTCCAGAACAAAGGTCCAAAAAGAAAACGATAGTACGGTATACTAGTAATTACAAATAAACATCTCTGATGCACAAAATAAAGGAGTTCCAAACAGATCACAGCGATAACATCAGCAGGGCGTGAGAAAAAAAAAAAAAGTAAATACAATAACAAGATAATAATATTTAGGTATTGCAGTATAAAAACCAGCGTAAATAAGTAAAGTTATTATCACATTCCTAAATGATCTAATACAGGCTTCCATATTTTCCAAAATATATGTAAATTATCATTGTTAATAAATCGTAGCTTCTCAATATGAATAATGCCCGCTAGTTCACTCAGCAACATATTGAATGTTGGAACAAAGTCAAGTCTTTCATATGTACTAAAAGAAGGTACAGAAATCACCCCAAAAATGGCAATCTTTGGATCTGGAACAATATCTTTTTTATACACTTTTGATAGCAGGTCAAAAATATCAGTCCAGTATTTGTGAAGGTTACAACATGTCCAAAATGAATGTAGACGTGTACCCTCCGCAACCTTGCATTTATTGCATATCAGTGACACTTCAGGGAAAATCTTGTGCAATTTAGTTTTGCACACGTATACTCTGTGTAGAGATTTGAATTGAATTAAGTTGTGTCTAGTATTAATTGAACAATCATGTATATTCTGTAGGCATTCCTCCCATTGCGCATCCTCAATAGTGAAGCCTAAATCCTCCTCCCATGCTTTCCTAATTGAAGTTGTGTCACTATCGGATCAGTTATACATTATAGAAATATCATGACACTGCTTTTGAGTTTCCGGCTTTAAATCGGTTAATTTCCTCTAATTTTCCATGCTTTTTTAGTTGTTCAAAATCAGGAAAAAAATTTCTAACATAGTCTCTGATTTGCAGATATCTAAAAAAGTGAGAATTTGGTAACCCAAACTTTGATTGGAGCTCTTTAAAAGACAAGAAATGCCCATTCATATAAAGTGAGCCGACACAGCCTATTCCCTTCTGTTTCCAAAGTGAAAAAAACGTATCATTAAGAGCGGGAATGAAGGAGTGATTCAGACATGGGGCTATCAAGATATACATTAGGAGCTTTAATATACATTTTAATTTGTTTCCAAGTTTTTAAAGACTGGCCTATAACAAAATGATTATTATAGATAAGCTTACTAACCTTTCCTGGACTATTGCATAGTGCCTGCAGTGAAGAGTTAGAGCAAAGGGCTTGTTTAATTCTAAGCCATTCAGGTTGTTCACAGGTTCCTTCTGGTGGATCATCATTCCACCAAGAGAATATATTCAAGTGTGCTGCCCAATAATATGCTTTAAAGAAAGGTAACCCAAATCCCCCCTTCTCCTTAGATTTAAAAAAGTGTTTTTTATTAATTATTGCTGTTTTATAATTCCATAAAAACTGAAAAATTATCTTGTAGTTGTTTAAAATAGGATTGTGGTATACATGAAGGGATAGACTGAAATAAGTGGAGGAATCT